GGCAGCTGTTGAAATGGAATGATGGGAATAAATACACACGACGAAATGGATCACCATCGGCAGCCTATTCAGTCAAGTCGCTTGATCGCTGCTATCCTATCCATGTTGTCACATCACCATGAGTCCGTGATCGTGGATGAAATAGGTTGGTTTTCTTCCTGATTATACACTGTACTGCCATAAGAGACTCATTTAGGGATCTTTATGCCATTTTCCATGGACTTTCTGAACTAATTCTCTTTGGCTAATGATGATTAGTCTTATCAATTGGGGGTTTCGCTATCAGAAATTGGCACACTCAACGAGTGAGCGTACCAACACTCGATATTGATCGTCCATATCGTGTCAGTGATCAGTGAGTAGTGGTTGGAAAAGGGTTAAAAAAAAAATCCTTTCAAGCACTTTCAACTTTTGGCTAGCTACCCTGAGTTATTGCAGTATGACAAAAGGAAAGGACATCAAATAAAAAAAAGTGAAAGTGAATGAAAGAAGAAGTTATACGTTATTTGATGCTAATTGTATGTCCATGATAGTGTTTGCAGATGGAGATGATGATGATGATGATGGCCCTTACCGAATTGTTTTTGCCAAAATATCTCAATACCATTTGTCTGTCGGTGTTATTGACCAATTCGACCCTTGTTAATACATGAGGCGGTTGAGGTTGTGCTAACGATTGATTACTCCTACTACTGCTGCTACTACTGCTACTTTGGCTGATTGGTAATGAACGTTGATGACGAATAGTATGCCGATATAAGCGAGTAATTCCATCTTCCGATTGAGTAAGATGAGCATGTTGGTCTGAAATGGAAATCCACTCTTCATGCTTGGAATGTGCGCCTACAATCTCCTTATTATAATGCAATTTTCCATCGATGATGCAGTAAAATGTTGCAAGAAAGACAGCCAGTGAAAGGGTCGAGGACAACGAATTGATCTTCATTTTGCCTGGCAATTGGAACAATAAAATAAGAAAATGTTTAGTCTACAATTTATATTGATCATGTCAATAAATAATTGAATCGAAATCCAATTACAATAAGAATAAATTGCTTTGGCCATGTATCTCACGGTGTGGCTTAAAGGCTTGTATGACTAGTTTGATTGGGTAACCATGTCGGTGAAGAATGCAGCGTTTGAGTCATCTCGGTCGTTATCATACTGGAACTAGATAACATTGTTTATTGATTGCGATAAAGCTCAAAGCGGTGCTTTGATCATCCAAGCGCTTTTATTGTACATGTACTGTTGCTGTCTTTTATCATTGATACAGGTCATCGGTTACGTCACGTCAACAATGACGTCATGCATGATCTCTGTGCTGATTGGGCCAGTACTATCCTAGTCGAACACTTCAATTCAAGGCCGCCCTTGACGGCATAGTACTGTACTGTACAGTGTACAGTGTGCAATTGTACTGTGCTGTACAGTACAAGAGTACTGTGC